CAGAAAGTAGGAGAAAAATAATATGGAAATGAGAAGGTTGAATTAGGAGTTCCACATTCAACTGATAGCATATTCAGAAAGAACAGAGAAAACTGGAGGGGAGAAAATTATCAAAGAAATACTATGAAAAACATTTTCAGAACTGAAGGACATGAAAGTCATAATGAAAATATCCCATGAAGTTCCCGAACAACATAATTAATAAGAGTAAAATAAAACCTCATACCAAGCACATTATCATGAAATTTGAGAACATCAGGAATCAAGAGAAGATTCCTAGAGATTTCCTGAGAGATGAAACAGGCCACAACAAATAGACAGAAATAGAATGGCATCAGACTCCTCCACAACCACATGGATGCTGGGAGGAAATGGAGCTTTGGAAAAAAACATTGCCTAGCTGGTATACATAGCCAAAGTAACAACCAAGTGTGACGGTATAACGAAGGCATTTTCAGACATGCAAGACCTCAATTTTTTTTCTGGGCTGGGTGCAGTGGCTCACTCCTGTCATCTCAGCACTTTGGGAGGCTGAGGCAGATGGACTGCTTGAGCCCAGGAGTTTGAGAGCAGCCTGGGCACTGGTGAAACCCTGTCTCTACAAAAAATATTTAAAAAATAGCTGGGTGTGGTGGTGCATGCCTGTGGTTCCAGCTACTTGGGAGGCTGAGGTGGGAGGATCACTTGAGCCTGGGAGGCAGAGGTTGCAGTGAGCTGAGATTTTGCCACTGCACTCCAGCCTAGGTGACACAGTAAGACCCTGTCTCAAAACAACAACAATAACAACAACAACAACAAAAATTAGCTGAGCATGGTGGCATGTGCCTGTAGTCCCAGCTATTTGGAAGGCTGACCCTGTCTCAAAAACAAAACAAAACAAAAAAACAACAACCCCCCCCCCCATACACACACACACAAGAAACTTTTCTGGGTACCCTTTCTTAAGAAGCTACTAGAGGATATATTTTACCAAAATGAATGAATAAATCAAGGAGACCTGGGATCCAGACCCCACAGTGGATTTAGTATGCGAGATGGAGTGAGCAAAGGAAGTTCTCAGGATGAAAGTAAAGATAGATTTTTAAGGTGGCAACTGTGCAGTATGCTTAGAAGGCAACTAGTTGATATGGTTTGAATGTGACTCTCAAATTTCATGTGTTGGAAACAACCCCAAAATGCATATGTTGATGGCATTTGGAGGTGGAACTTTTGGGAGGTAATTAGGATTAGATAAGGTCATCAGAGGCCCCCATGATGGGACTGGTGGCTTTCAGAGAAGAGGAAGGAAGTCCTGAGCTGGCACACTCTTGCCCTCTTACCATGTGATACCCTCTGCCATGTTATGACACAGCAAGAAGGCCCTCACCAAATGCCAGTGGCATGCTCTTGGACTTCCCAGCCTCTGGAATAATGAGTTAAATAAAATTCCTTTCTTTATAAATTGCCCAGTTGGTGGTATTCTGTTACAACAACAGAAAATGGACTAAGGCATCAGTGCATAGTAGATCAATAACTTGAAGGGTAATCATAGTAGTATCTCAGTGGAAAATAGAACTGATAGGTGATCCAAAATGTATGATATATAAAGTATTTGAAGGATTCATTATTAATAAATACATTCAAAATGGTAAATAGAAAACAAGGTAACTATTAACTCTGGACCAAAAAAAAGTTTTAAGAAAGGAATGTTAAGGCCGGGCACAGTGGCTCATGCTTGTAATCTTAGCACTTTGGGAGGCTGAGGTGGGCAGATCACAAGGTCAGGAGATCGAGACCATCCTGGCTACAGTGAAACCCCGTCTCTGCTAAAAAATACAAAAAATTAACTGGTTGTGGTGGCAGGCGCCTGTAGTCTCAGCTACTCGGGAGGCTGAGGCAGGAGAATGGCATGAACCCGGGAGGCAGAGCTTGCAATTGAGGTAAGCTGAGATCACGCCACTGCACTCTAGCCTGGGCGAGAGAGTGAGACTCTGTCTCAAAAAAAAAAAAAAAAAAAAAAAAAAGGAATGTTAATCATGCCATACTATGTGTTTCAATTGTAAACAATATTCGAATAGTTGTGATATTCAAGTACTGAATACTAACTTAACAACAACAACAAAAAATACAATGTAATCATTTTGGAAAAACTAAGACAGTGAGTATAGCTCTGTGTGTGTGCAGTAGGAGTGAGGGGGATATATAATATCCCTAAACACTTCTCTTCCATATTAAAAAAAAAGTCAGCAGACAATGCTTAAATTGAAAATCGAGAAATGGAGATGAGGATGAGATGTAGCAGGGGATGGATTTTTAAAAAATTTAAACAAGTCTTTAGCTTTTTTTTTTTATTAGCGTTTTGGTGTGTTTTCAGGCTTTTCTTAGTACCAATAGTGCTGAAATGAATAACCTTATACATACGTTATTTTGTTTGTATGCAAATATAGCTGTAAGATTAATTTCCAAAGGCGAAAGGGCAAACACATGTGTACTTTCAATAGATGTTGCCTAATTGCTCTCTATAGGGGTCATACCGTCTTATTCTCCCACTAGAATTGTATGAGAATATTTTCCCATAGCCTCATCAGAAGAATGTGTTGTCAAACTTTTGGGTTTTTGCCAATCTGATGGATGAGGAAAGATCTCTTTCTGTATTATGAGTGAGGTTAAGAGTCTTTTTTTGTTTTGTTTTGGAGACGAAGTTTCACTCTGTCGCCCAGGCTGGAGTGCATTGGCACGATCTCGGTTCACTGCAACCTCCGCCTCCCGGGTTCAAGCAATTCTTCTGCCTCAGCCTCCCAAGTAGCTGGGGCTACAGGCACACGCCGCCATGCCTGGCTAATTTTTTGTATTTTAATAGAGACAGGGTTTCACCGTGTTGCCCAGGCTGGTCTCAAACTCCTGAGCTCAGGCAATCCACCCGCCTCGGCCTCCCAAAGTGCTGGGATTACAGACATGAGCCACCATGCTGGCAGAGGTAAAGAATCATTTAAATGTTTAACAGCCATTTACATTTCCTTTTCTCTGAACTGTTTTATTATGTCCTTTGCCCACATTCCTACTGGGTTTTTGGCTTTTTCCTTGTTGATTTCTATGAACTGTTTATATTTTAGAAAAATTAACCCTTTGTGCTGCAATTTTTTTTTTTTTAGTTTTTCATTTGTCTTTGCTACTGTTTTTTGCTAAGTTTTCAATTCATGTGTAGTCATATTTTCAAATAATTTATAGATTCTGGATTTTGAATCATAATTAGAAAGACGCTCTGCACTCAAAAGTTATGAAGTTGGGCTGGGCGCGGTGGCTCACACCTGTAATCACAGCACTTTGGGAGGCCGAGGCGGGAAGATTGCGAGATCAGGAGATCGAGACCATCCTGGCTAACTCGGTGAAACCTCATCTCTACTAAAAATACAAAAAATTAGCTGGGTGTGGTAGCAGGTGCCTGTAGTCCCAGCTACTCGGGAGACCGAGGCAAGAGAATGGCATGAACCCGGGAGGCACAGCTTGCAGCATGCCGAGATCGCACCACTGCACTCCAGCCTGGGTGACAGAGTGAGACTCCGTCTCAAAAAAGAAAAAGAAAAAAAAAGTTATAAAGTCATTCATCTGTGTTTTCTTATAGTGACTTTAAGTTTTCATTTTCTACATTTAAATATTTGATCAATTTGGAATTTATCCTCATATTTTGGTCCAGCATCATCTTTTCCAGATGTCTACCCAGCTATTCCAACTTTCTTCCTTTCTTCTTCTTCTTCTTTTTTTTTTTTTTTGAGACAGGGTCTCACTTTGTTGCCCAGGCTGGAGTACAGTCTCGTGACCATGGCTCACTGTAGCCTCCACCTCCTGTGCTCAGGTAATCCTCCCATCTCGGCCTCCCAAGTAGCTGGGACTACACCAGGCTAATTAAAAAAATTTGTTTGTAGAAATGAGACCTCCGTACATTGCCCAGGCTGGTCTTGAACTCCTGGACTTAAGTCATCCTCTCACCTTGGCCTTCCAAAGTGCTGGGATTACAGGCATGAGCCACCGTGCCCAGTCTCCAACTTTCTTTATTACTATTTGAATCTCACAATTAAGTACATATATTACCATGATAAAACAAAATTAAATACGTTTAAAAAAGAGTGCCAGAGGACGGGCACGGTGGCTCACGCCTGTAATCCCAGCAGTTTGGGAGGCTGAGGCAGGCAGATTACCTGAGGCTGGAGTTTGAGACCAGTCTGGCCAACATGGTGAAACCCTGTCTCTACTAAAAATACAAAAATTAGCTGGGCGTGGTGGCGCATGCCTGTGATCCCAGCTACTCGGGAGGCTGAGGCGGGAGAATTACTTGAGTCCGGGAGACGGAGGTTGCAGTGAGCCGAGATCGTGACACTGCACTCCAGCCTGGCCGACAGAGCGAGACACTGTCTCAAAAAAAAAGTGCCAGAGAAGCCTTCAGGATAGTCTGTGAAGAGGGCGGAGAGGAAGTGGGAAGTTCGCGCCCTCCCGCAGCCTCTGAGTCCCCGGCTCCCACTCTGATGGCGCGTCTTTGTAGAGGCATCTCCCCCATGGCTGTTTTGTTAGGCAGGGACACTTGGCTGTAAACAGTAAAAACTGACTCTGACTGATGGATGCTAACGAGAGGCTCACTGGGGGATACTGGCCAAGCTCCGACTCTGGGAAAGCGAGTTGGACACCAGACGGTGTGAGGGATGAAGAGGAGCAGCTCTGGGAACTGTGTGGAATTCCCTGTCCTGGGATGACTCAGTGCCAGCTAGCTTCCTGTGTGTCTGCGTTTAGGGTTCCAGTCCCTGGGAGAGAGATTTTCACTGGCTAGCTTGGTCACTTGCCTGTCCTCTGTCAGCAGGGGTCCAAGTCCTGGGGTTAGCCAGACACCGGAACCATGTATCTGTGGGAGGGGGCGTGGAGGAACTGCTTCTGCAAAGGAAGAGATGCTGGGCAACAAAACCAAACAAAGCCCCACAGCGGCTGTCCCTCCACAACGTTTGTAAAAATAGCAACAGTAAAAATAGCAACTATTTGCTGACTACTTCCCAGAGGCCAGGATCTATGTGAAGTATTTTACCTCCTTTACTTTCTTAGCAGTTCTGTGGGATGGGAATTGTTCTCCCCGCGACAGGTGAGGAAGCTGCAACTGAAGAGAGGATAAGAAACTTCTCTGAGACACAGCTAGTCAATGGCATAACCAGGATACAAATCTGTTTGTGTCCAACCCAGTCTCTGCCCTGTAGCCATTAGGCAGCATCCTCTTCTGAGTGGGGCTGAGTGTACTCCATGGTGAAATTCAGCGTCTGCACGCCGTGCTGCTGACCTTCGGGCTCCATGGGCTTAAAACACAGCTACAGACGTAGCTCTGCTGTCCAGGGCTCCTTCACATCCCCATCAGTTATCCTTGTGATTGGCACCTGCTCTCATGCTGGGCACCTGCTGCCTACAACAGTTCCAAGGATAAAGCATTCTCATTCATTCTCTCACCACAGCCATCTTTGGGCAAAGGTCCCCTAGGCTGGGCTGGACAACCACACCAGGGTACCAACGCTTGCTACATGCACAGACCTCCTTGGCCCTGCAGCCAATGCCTCGGTCAGCCAGTGCCTCTGTACTCTCTCTCCTCTTGGGATAGGGTCCCTCTCCATCAGGTACAATACATGGGAAATCGAGGGGTGGCCTTTGTCCCAGCTGTCTTAGTCACCACATTCTTCAGGTCACTAACCGCCCCATTAGAGAGGGTTCACCCAGCTCCTGTGTAAACGGACCCTCTTTCCACCTGCCCTGAGACCGCTCTGGCTGTGTCTGGATGACTGAATCAGAACTGGGTGCTGCCCCTACTCCTCACCCCAGAACCCACCCCACACTGCTTCATCCCTAGCTCTCCAGCTCACCGGCATCCCTGCCCGTCAGCGTCAGCAAGTGTTTCCTGAAAGACTCTCCAAGTCCAGCAGTGTGCTGACTCCCCTGGCCACACCCAAGTCTGGAATGTCTTCTTCCAATTCCCTCCCTTTCACGACTCAGGGATCTTTGAAATTCTGTTGTTCCCTGGGCTGGGCAGCTCCTGTTGGGGTGTGGCCCGGCAGCTGGCCTCCAGTCATAGAAACACCATGATTGATTTAAATACTAAATTACACACTCAGCGTGGCAAAAGTGCTGCTCCTCCATATGTGACCTCTTTAAAGCTGAGAGAGTTGTGTGTCTTTCTCCCTTGGAAGCACGGTGTCCGGGGCCCAGGCCCCCTGCAGCAGCCTTGGTGTGCACAGCAGCTGCCTCTAAGTAGTCACGCGGGTCATGCAGCTGAGGACAGCCACAGGAGTGCTTTATCCTCCAGGTGATCTGGAGTGGGGAATGCTGGCAGCTCTCCAGTGGACAGCAGAGAAACCTCTCTCCCCGTCTGCAGCCAGCAGGGGCATGGGAATGATGACCAGCGTTCAGAGGGAACAGCTGGGCCCTGTGGTCATTCCTTGCCTGAGCAGAGGCCATATACAACATGGCCTGTGACTGCTCCAGATGGCCTTCTGCTACTCTCTCTTCTTCTCAGAGGACAAGTCTGATGGCCCGATTTAAATTACAACCTGACTCTAGGATTCTCCCCCTGGTCTTTCCATCCTCCAGCACACTTGAACCTGCAACACAGTATAAAATGTACTTTTCATGCTTATTGTTTATTTTCTATCTCTCCACTAGAATATAACTCCACAAGGGCAGGCCGAGACTTTTGTCAGTTTTGTCCAGGACGTATTCCAAGTGTCTACAGCAGTGTGGTTGTGTAGTAGGTGTTCAGTAAATATTTGTTGAATGAATGAAGGATTCACCCATATCCTTTAAAGCCACCAGGCACTGGTGGATCCCAAATGAAGGATCCACCAGTGTCTGCTGGTTTAAAAACATGTTCAAAATTAGCTCCTTTTTTTTTTTTTTTTTTTTTTTTTTGAGACGGAGTCTTGCTTTGTCGCCCAGGCTGGAGTGCGGTGGCGCGATCTCGGCTCACTGCAAACTCCGCCTCCCGGGTTCATGCCATTCTCCTGCCTCAGCCTCCTGAGTAGCTGGGACTACAGGCGCGCACCACCACGCCCGGCTAATTTTTTGTATTTTTAGTAGAGACAGGGTTTCACCGTGTTAGCCACGATGGTCTCGATCTCCTGACCTTGTGATCCACCCGCCTCGGCCTCCCAAAGTGCTGGGATTACAGGCGTCAGCCACCGCGCCCGGCCCAAAATTAGCTCCTTTTAAAAGTGGAGCTAATTCCCTCTCCCTGAATGTGAACTGACCCGAGTGACTGACTCTCTCCCAGTGAATAGAATGTGGCAGAAGCCATCCTGAGTGACTTCTGAGGCTGGGTCATAAAAAGGACAGTGTTGGCCTGTCTTGCTCTCCATGGGCTGCTCACGTGGAGGATGGCAGCAGCCTTGTGAGGACACTTAAGAGCCTTCAGAGGCCCTGGCGGGGAGACAGTGAGGCCATGTGAGTGAGCCATTTTGGAAGTAGTGCCTCCAGGTGACTGCAGCCTTGGCTGACATCTTGACTGTAACCTCATCAGAGTCCCCAAGCCAGGACCATCCAGCCAAGGCATTCCTGAATTCCTGACCCACAGACATTGTGAGGATAATAAATATTTAAGATTGTGTTAATCTACTACGTTTTGGGGTTAATTTGTTACACAGCAATAGAGAACAAATAGAATTTCAAAGTCACCTAGTGCATTTGAAATATGACTTGCTTTACAAAAACTTAATACGTGCCCAGCTTTATAGCAAAGCACTGTGGAAAGTGAACTACAGCTGCCGATATGGAAATAGAGGTTGTGTAGGTTTGGTGGAAAGAGATCTGGGTTTGGGGCTATAAAAAATAAAAAGATTATCATGGTCCCCAAATCTGGCGTTTATCTTGGGAATGTTATGTGGGAGGCAGTGAGTCCCTGGGAGAAGCCTTTGTTAGTGGTGAAGATGATACAGGGCTTGCTCCCTAACCCAGTGGTGCGTGCTCAGTGAAGACGCTTGTCCACCAACTCAAGTGCCCATTGTTGGTTTATTAATAACGCTTGCACATGATGCAGTGTGGGGCTGGGGTCTGCGCAGCAGCTCCCAAACTCGACGTAACAAAGGCTGCAGCTGTTGTTGCTGTCTTCACTTCGCTTCAGAGTGACCATAAATTATATCCCCTAGTGATGAAACAGCCAGAATACTATACTTGAGGAGGTTAATTAGCCCCCTACAGAATACACAAGCTAGAAAATCACCACTTGGAGAGCTGCACAACCTCCTGAATCCTCATCAGCTCCACGCAGCCGCCATGGCTCTGTAGCACATTTCTATTTAGTGCTACAAATGGTGCCAGACAAGAGGCTCTGGGGATCTCCTGCCCTTCTGCCACCAAAGATCACCAGCCAAGGCCTGGCTACCTGATCTGGCAGAGATGTTTGGTCCCTACAACCCACTCCTACACTGACGTCTCTGCCTGCACGCCTCACACAGGTGCAGATATGGCCAGTCTGAACGGCCATTAAGGCAATGTAAAGAAATTTGACCCTTATGAGAGAATAATTGGCTTGGCTTTTTTTTTTTTTAAAGACAGGATCTTGCTCTGTCACCCAGGCTGGAGTGCAGTGGTACCATCATGACTCACTGCAGCCTTGACCTTCCAGGCTCAAGCAATCCTCCTGCCTCAGCCTTCCTAGTAGCTGGGACTATATATGTGTACCCTGACCCCCAACACTTGGCTAGTTTTTTTTTTTTTTTTTTTTTTTGAGACAGGGTCTTGGTCTGTCACCCAGGCTGGGGGCAGTGGTGCAATGTCAACTCACTGCGACCTCTGCCTCCTGGATTCAAGCTGTCCTCCCCACCTTGGCCTCCCAAGTGGCTGGGACTACAAGCACGTACCACCATGCCCAGCTATTTATTATTATTATTATTTTTTAAATGTTTTGTGGAGATGGGGTTTTTCCAGGTAGCCCAGGTTGGTTTCGAACTCCTGAGCTCAAGCTGTCCACCCACCTCAGCCTCCCAAAGTGCTGGGCTTACAGGCCTGAGCCACCACATCTGGTCTGCTTGGCTAACTTGTTTTGTTTTGTTTGTTTTGTTTTTGTAGAGATGGGATGTCACTATGTTGCCCTGTCTGGTCTCAAACTCCTGTGCTCAAGCGATCCTCCCACCTTGGTCTCCCAAAGTGTTGGCTTTGCTTTTGACAGGATGTTTGGGTTCTCCTTTGGCTCAAATTCTCATCTCTGGAACCCACCAGATTATGGGGGGAAATGGAGGGGCTTTAGTCACTTTCTGCTCGGGCAGTTCCTTCCATCAGCTTTATTTGACAGATGGAAGAAGAGAGACCCAGAAACGGTGGGTGTTTAGGAGGGCTGTGGTAGGGAAATCTGAATTTCCTGGAGGCCTTGCCTGCTAGTAATAATAATAATAGTAGTAGTAAATATTTATTGAGCATTTGCTTTCTGCCAGTGGCTGCTAAGCATTTACCATCTATTTTCTTATTTGAGACTTGTGACTCCCCTATGAGGTAGGCACTGTTTTATCCTCATCAAATAGATGAGGAAGCTGAGGTTCAGTACAGTCATTTGCTCAAGGGTAAATGGCTGAAGTCGGGTGTCATTCTAGGACCACCTACCAAATAACTCATGTCTTTAACTAGAATGTGATCATGGTCATGAACATTGGTGGTTTCTGACTGGCTGCCTGTGTCCAAGGTTGATGAACATGTTAAATCTCAAGACTGTGATATCCAGACAATGCCTGCCATCAAAGAATGAAAAGGCAGAAAAACCAAAAAGTAGGCCCAGCCCTGAGCCACCCCTCCTTGCTGCAACAAATGTTCATAATGATGATCCTGGGTTATAACAAAAAAGTTAAATCATGTTATCTGCTTTACAATGTAGAGAGGTAAGTGCTGTGTTTTAGAGTGATTACCTCCCGCCCCCAGAAATAATTACAATTTTGGGAAAAGTATTGGTTCTCAAGGGAAAACTTCGGTTATGTATGCCGAACCATAATCCCCAGTGCTGGTGGGTAACTGAGATATTCTAACATTCTAACATACTGGTATACTTTGAGATGATGCAACTTTTCCCATTTTGCATAGGTGGACTAAGAAAAGAGGAACTTCCAGTGTGCTATTAACATGGTTTGGCTGTGTCCCCTCACAAAACCTCATCTTGAATTACAATAATCCCCACGTGTCAAGGGGGGAACCAGGTGGAGAGAACTGAGTTCTGGGGGCAGTTCCCCCATGCTATTCTCCTGATAGTGAGTGAGTTCTCACGAGATTACTGGTTTTATAAGGGGCTTTTCCCCATTTGCTTGGCACTCATTCTCTCTCCTGCCGCCCTGTGAAGAGGTGCCTTCCACCATGATTGTGTTTCCTGAGGCCTCCCCAGCCGTGTGGAACTGTGAGTCAATTAAACCTCTTTCTTTATAAATTACCCAGTCTCAGGTATTTCTTCAGAGCAGCCCGAGAACAGTCTAATACAGCTACCATTGACTCTTCTCTGCTCTGATTAAAACTTATTATGGGCTGCTGCAGGTTCAGCTGTCTAGTTCATATAAATAGACATATCTGAATCTCTATCTTGGAGGAATGATAAAGCAGGGTGTCCTTGGACACCACATCCACACATTGATAAGAGTCATGTTTACATTAGTACTAGTAGCCTTTATTGAATGTCAGCTTTGGGCCCAGGTCCTGCATTAGGCACTTGTACATATTATTTCTTTAATTTTTTCAATTGCTCCATTGGGGTAGTATTGTTTTGCTCATTACACAGATAAGAAAACCAATGTTTAGTGAGTTTAAGCAACTCATTCAGGATTACAGAGAAAATCAGTAGTTGAGAAACAGATTTGCTCATAGATTTTTCCAAAATCCACGTCTCTCCCCAGCTACTGGGGAGGTTGAGATGAGAGGATCACCTGAGCCTAAGAGGTCGAGGCTGTGGTGAGCTGTGATTATGCCACTGCACTCCAGCTTGGGCAACAGAATGAGACCCTATCTCAAAAAAAAATTCAGGCCCTTGGTGAGCCTGAGCATCTTGAGGGTTCCACAGTTGCTTCTGATTCATACCTAAGTCTGAGAGCCAGTGGTCTTTGTGGAGTACTGGGAGCCTGTGGAGAAAACTCAAGAACTCTGAAAAGAAATGATAATTTAAAAAATAAAATTAATACATCTTTACTCCCATTATGTATTCTTGTTTTCACCTAAGGGAGAATCAATATTTGTTGAGCATTTGAAATGCATTTAATGCATTGCATACTGTTTCAGTCAAAATCCAGTCAGGAAAAATGGAAATCATGCCAGGTACTTCAACCAGAGGATATTTATTTATTTATTTATTTATTTATCTTTAATTTTTTTTTTTTTTTGGAGACGTAGTCTCGCTCAGTTGCCCAGGCTGGAGTGCAGTGGCTCGATCTCGGCTCACTGCAATCTCCACCTCCTGGGTTCACGCCATTCTTCTGCCTCAGCCTCCCGAGTAGCTGGGACTATAGGTGCCTGCCA